ATACATTTTTAGTGCGTTTTAGTGAAAAATTTACAAATTTACTCGACAATCATCGATTTTCGTAAAAACTATCTATTTTTTGCTAAAAATTTCCAATTTTTACCTCTAGCGATAGTAGAAAATAGTATTGCAGCACTTCCGCTACTACTTTGGAAAAACTGGATCCTAGGAAAAATGTGTGCGAATATTGCGAAAAACTCGATTGTTTTCCCCGTCCCTCAGGCTTGATTTTCCTCAAGTTTCCTTTACCCTAACCGCATAAACCCTATGCTAAGTACTCCATTCCAGGTAAATTTAAGGAGAGCCTCTCAAAACGGCCACACCCCCAAGCGCCATGCTCTCCCTGACGGAGGACGGGGACGGGGCTTGCGGGGTGGGAGTGTGAGGACGAATATGCTGCCATACACTGTTCCATCACCCCATCGCTCTCGGGCTTATCGCAGGGTCTGCCGTGCTTTTATACTGGCTGGTGGGTTGCATACTAGTTTAATTTTAATTTGAGTTAATGGTGGTCTTGACTAAAGCCTAGTTAATCTTTTTCAACTTTTCTAAAATGTCCGATTTATCGTTTTCCACTAAAATTTACGTAATTCTGGTTTTCCTTTTAACATATAGTCGCATTTTATTTAAAAGAACCCTATTCAAACACCTTGCTGGGCATTTCAGGGCCTATAGCAAAAGAGTTGCCATCCCCCAGTAAGGCGAAAAGCACCCTAGAGAGGTATTTTTCGTATCGTCTGGTAGTCGCTGAAATTTTTAAAAAATGAAACTTAAACAAAGCGTTGAACGGTAACCTTTTGAGGTTGGGACGGCCTGCAACCTGCAGATGTCGGTCGCGATTCTTGGCTCAACGAAACCATCCATCAACTGAGCCACTTTGAAACGCTGCCAAATGGTACGTATCCAATAAACCGCTTTTCCCTCAAAACTTCCTGAGCTCAATCCCTTAACTTTACAGGCACCCGCTACTACAATTGGACGAACGAGGAAACGGGCGAGCTCGAATACAAGGAAGCCACCTGGGCGTTCGACCGCTTTTGGGCCGGCTACTTCGGTACTTCTTCAGGTCGACCTGGGATCAACTTTTGCTGGGTTCGACTTGTCCTAACGCCAAAACTAAGCCTAGCATAGCCGCGGAACGACACGGAATATGTGCCCAACACCTTCTCGATCTTCCGTATATTCCAATTGCGCCCGTATAGTCAGGTAAGTGTTTGGAAGCAGCTGCAGGAAACGGGTTGGTGTTAGAGCCTAATCCAGACCGTTGTCCTCGGCACGATGGAGTTTCGGATTTTCGCGACGCTTTTCGTCGTCATCGGCCGATTACGGGAGGAGAATACGTTTGGGATGAGGTGTGTATTGGCCTTTCCGGGCTTTGTTAATACCAGGGGGAAACTTGGAATTTGAATAGAGCAAGTTAGCTAAAAATAGAGAAAGTTTTAGAAAGTATTTTGACTATCCCTAAGCGTAAAAATTATGAAATCTTGTCACAAAAATACTTAAAATATAGATTTTTCAAGCAAATTGGCAAATTTTTGAAAAATTGAAGGGTTTTACTTTAAATATAACTAAATCTTACTAAAAAGACACTGGTTATTACGGCATTATACAGAGAAATCGGGATAAATTCGGACCGCCCTGGAAAAACTAAAAAAAAGGCTGCTTTTCCACCTAATCCATACATTTCCAGAGCCCTCAGCTACTTGGCCATGTTTTGACCGTCACCGAATGTCTGGCCTCATTCGCGCTCACCGACCTACAGATTTGGCAAGACAAGCAGCGTAGGCGCCGAAAATTGAGGTTAAACTTTTGCCCCATTTTCAGTGGTCCAGCTGCTCCACCCGTGCGCGATCGCCTTTTTCACGATCGTGCCAACGCGGATGATGGTCATGTTTCAGATCATCAATTCACGGGTGAGTGCGGTAAACAGGTCGTAATAGGCTCTAGCTAGTAGCCGAGCGTCGGGTGTTGTGCTAGCCGGTGGCGCTGTGCCTGAGCTGCGTGTTTTTGGTGCTGTCGTCGGCGCATCCGTTGTATGAAGATATGGTCGCCTATGAACTCTATCCTACTGCGACATCTACAGTAAGTCAACGAAAAAAACGTAAAATTTCGTGTCAGAACTGGCTTTGTTTTAACAAAATCCTGAGAAACCTCGAAAGTCTGCAATTTTTAGCCGGTGGAAAGCAGATGTTGGCCTGGGCCAGTCTGATTGTCGGCATGTTCGCTTGGACGGTGCACGAGGCTTTAGCGACCTCATCATTTCCACATACTAATCGTCCCGTTACCGCGCGACTTCGAGTGGGACGCAGGTAAAGCCACACTAAAACTACAAGCCGAAAATGTTCCTAGGATCGACCGTCTACCAGCCTGCTTGGTCACGAATAGAAAACCAGAAAAACTTCCTAAATTCTAATAACTATCGCTACTATCCCTCGAAAAAGCTCAAACCAATGTGTTTTTCCTTGAAAAAAACGGGTCATTCTCCGCTTTAACGCCACCATTCCCCCAACCGATCACTCAATATCGTACCTCATAGGGATGCTAATAAATTTTCGTTCAAACAAAAATCTGGTAAAATCCGTTTTATCATATGCAGCAAAATCACATTTTAAAAAGAGAGAAACGCACCCGAATCGTGAATATACATTAGGGCGACACCGGTTGGAGAACAGGAGGAATTGGAGATCATTCATTCGGCCATCTGCTCTTCAGCCACGGCATCTTCGCGGCATCGGCACAGGGGGCGAGAGAAGAGATTCTAAAAAAAACAGATGAGTATGATCAAAGGGTCTTACCTTTTTCAGCTCCATCGACAACATTCCGCACTGCAACTCTTCGCCTACTGTCTGGGCATCGCTGACCAACTAAATGAGAAGGGACATATTGAGAACCGTTAATTTACAAACCTTTTCAACTTTCTCCAGAACATCCTTGGCGTTACGTTCGGGCCTTTGACAATGGCGTTCGATCTGAAAATGATTACATACCAGCAATAGGTTAGCGTAAAAAGATCCAGAATGCTCAACAACCGCCAAACCTGCTTCGTCTTGCCCGCCAAATCGCTTAGCTGCGCGTTGATGTAGTCGGAATTGGCGAAGATTGGCGATGCGCGCAACGAGTTGATCCAATAGGTGTTGAACATCGACTTCAGCACCTTATCGTCTATACCGCAAGTTCAAATCCCTATTAAAAATCGTTACCCAGAGCGCTTTTGAAGAAGGTGACGTCCAGGGAATAATATTGCTTGCAGTGCACGCCGAAATCTTCGATTTTGTGCAGGGGCACACTCTGAAATGAGTGTCTTAAAATAAAACTAATTTTTAAAAAAACCTGATATTCATTGGCTCCGCCACGCTCCTCTGGCGGTTTGTATCCCTTGGGGTAGGTGCGGAAAGCACCGATGTCGACCTAAAATCGGTGGTTGAAGGTGTCCAAAGGATCTAATACCTTTCCAGCGCTCATCGTGCGTAGCGGATCGATAACAACCGCCACCCAAGGCTCCTGTAACAGTCAGTTAAATTCAGAACCGAGTTTCCACCTGATAAGTCTGATTGTTGAACTGTGTGGTGACGTCAATGCCGGACAGCCAGCAACCATAGCCGGGGTGAGAGTGGTACCAGCCTAATAATTCCAATTATAACCAGAAAATCACTTACCTAACACTTTGTGTTTGTGACCAAGGTTCTCGCCAAGTTCCGTGTAATTCGTCATGTATTCGTAGGCCTAAACAGTGGTTTGTTCCATGCTTTGGCGATAATACCTCGGCTTGAGCATTCACCCGGGTCTCTGTCCCTCAACGGGCAGTGCAAAGCTCTCAGTGACGACGAACGTGTTCGCATCGACGTGGCCTTGCATCAGACCCATTACCTAAATAAAAATGTACAATTTGCCTTCTGGAACCATCACCTCAAGATTTCCGCCACTACGCGCATGGGTGACCATTTTGATCAATGCCACGGCCGAGATCTTGACCTCCTTGAAGTAGTGCGGGTCTTTTTCCCAAGGGTTCGCGGCCCGGATTTGTCGCTGCTCTTCAACACTGAAAATGGGATGACTAAAGCAAGATCTGCTGCAACGCACTTGATATCAAACGGCTTGTCGATCGTCTCGATTTTGTTGGCCAGTTCCCAGGTGGCGCGCGCAACGTCGGATTCTTGACCCAAGCTAAAGCTGAGGTTATGGAAGAATCGGGGCCAGAAAAGCACCTTCTGAGCTGTTGCAGTGCCACCGAAACGTGGGCGGCCTCTTGATCCTGATCATCCATAGCTGGTAGTGCGTCGATAGCTCGTGGCTAAAATTTGAGGGTGTTATGCTGCTATGATCAAGAACCGGTGTGTTAGTGAGGAAAACAGGTGAAATTCGGGGATGACAAATTTCGGGGATGGAGGAACAATCGGGGGCAAAAGATTATTCCAGTTGAGAGATCCCGGAAATAATGTTTCTGGAAAGTTTTAGAGCGCTTTTCCAACATTTTGGGCTGCCTGGGGGGAACAATGCCTTAAACCAACTTTAATAGTTTCAATTCAGAATTCCATCTGGTTCTAATAACAAAAAGATAAGTGGTTCTTGCGTATTCCCGGGGGTTTTTTCGGCCTAAGCCTAGATTTTTAATATAAATAGTGGAATTGTTTCTAAAACTGTTTATAGCTATTCCTAAGCATAATACATTACAAAATTTCATAAAAAATGAATTTTAGGTCGAAAAATCAATTCTTCGACCAAAAAATGACCAAATTTTCGACTTTTCCAGGGTTTTTCTAACTTTTTAAAAAGTTTTGCCGATTCAAATAGGCTTAAATTTTGCTAAAAACAATGTGAAAACACTTGGGGAACTATACGGAATAGATACGCGTTTTCGCAAATGGATAAAGGAAAATTTGAGATTTGGGCAAAAGTCTCTCCCCGGGAATACCAAGAACCAGATAAGCCAAAACTACCAAATATTCCTCAAATTGTTGAATACCAAGTAAATTTCTCAATAATTGTTGCCAATATTTTAAGCCTACTTTGCTACAAATAAAATGGGTAGATTTTGACATTTTTGGTCTTGAAAGGAGAATGTGCGCGCGGATCCTATTCCGCGGCCATACTACAGCCACGATCCCTTTCCCACCCTCTCAATTATTTTTAGCTCTCCCTGTCCTTCACCCAACCCTCGCGTTCTGCCGTTTTGTTGCCGTGAAACAATCGTTTACACCTTCTCAAGCCTATGAAGTAACATCATGACGACTCTTGAGGTAAACTCCTTGAAAATGGCAACTTGTACAGGTTGTCCCAAACCCCCTAGCCGGCCGCAGTCGTGTCCGATTTTTATATTTTGGTATCTATCGAAAACTCTCGGAAAGGCCAGTCCAGAGTCTCGTTAGTTCAGCGTATTCTTGAATAGAAAGCGCCGTGCTAATGCACTTGGGGGCGGGGGGGGCAGTACGCATTTTGACTACATGACGCTCCAAATGCCGTTTTTGATTATTACAGATACTTGCCTTAAACCTCGTTATCAGGGAATTACACTGCTCAATTTGAGAAGTCGGGCATTAAAGGGATGAGGACGGCATAAGTCACATTATTATACGCGCGGGAAAGAAAATTTCTCTACCCTGTTGGCTATTGCCAAAAATGATGACACCCTCCCGAGACAGGGGGGGGGTCACCAGATGCCGTCCTTATCGCTTTAACAATGATATTAAAGGGATGCCGACGGCATAGTCAATCGGTTACGCGCGGAAAAGAAAATGTCTCTGCGCCTCTCCCCAGGGCGCGCTCTCTCCTCTGTTGGCTACTTGCCAATTTGTTGATGAGGAGGGATCGACACATGCCGTCGGCAGCCCTTTAAGCTTCCCCGTGATTGCTATTTTGTTTTTAGATGCTTAGTACTTTTAGCTACTTAAACTACAGGATACAAAGCTTATAATACCTAATAAGGTGGCTCGGGCTTTAGAAATTTGCTTGAAATTTGCTTTTTGCAAGACTACACCAGTTGTCCTTGAAAATAATACCCAATTATCTTTTCAGGATGGAACTTCTACACCCGCCAAGAAAAGGGGCGCATTTGTACCGAGTCGGATGAAACAGCTCCGCTATTTGCGCGGGGATTTGATCAAGATTCGCGACAAACTCACCCCCCGAGGCATGGCTCGAGATGGCGAAAGAGCGGTTAGTTTCCGGACAATGATTTAACTTATGCTTTTAGTTTCGGAGAGATATCCCATTGGCCGTTACGAACAGTAGCGAAAGATCCTGTCGAAAAGATGACCGAGGCAACCGGGAAGCTGGCGATCGAACCAACGAAGGTGTTTTATCATTGCTTGAAAACTTCAGTTATTAGGACTCTGATTCGGTGCCTGGGCCATCCGAAGACGACCTCGAACAAAGAACCGCGAGGCTGAATGAAGCGCGTTTGAGGCGAGAGCGTGATAAGAAGAATCGTCAAAAAGTTTTTAAACTTTTTAATTAAAATGAGGCCCACCTTAGGTTATGATGGAACGCGCGCAACGTAGCCACCAGGACATGAGCTTCAACGATATTTGCAACCGAATGGCGGCGTTGGCTTGCAATGCGGAAACCAAAGTGTAATATAACTTTTTTTTTTTGTTGACTGGTTTCAGGCCCGAGAATGTTCCACAAAAGAGCGTTGTGAGCCCAGATTCTGGCCGGAGGACACCCGACTACTGGGCGGAAGCAGTAACCATCGAATTGAAACCCATATGATATTTAGGCTCGGAAATGGGCCGAGTTAAAAGCTTCAGAAGAGGTATTCGATTCGCTTCAAACAATTTTGTTTCTAGATGAAGGGAGACGAAAAGAAGTCAATGAAGGAGGGAAAGGACCCGTTGGTTTGGCTCCTGGCACTTGTGAACAAGCATAAAAAGAAGGTTCGTTGGTCCTTTATGTTCTAACAGTTGACTATTAGGATGGGAATGTCATCGCTATGGGGGCTGAGGAAACAGTTGTGGAAGCGTCGACAATGGTACGTGTCGTCGGTTAACCGCCTCACACTTTTTTAGAAGATAAAGAAGTCTGTGCGAATCGAAGTGCCGGTTGCTCCCGTCACGGTTCGTGTTTACTTTTCGGCATGGAAATTTAAGCTTTTAGAAGGCCGCCAAGCACGAGAATGACAGCCGCTCGATGTGCCCAGAATCTGGGAAATCAGTCGACTACAATTCTGCCTTCCAATACAATGTGCGATTTGCTCAAGCCTGGCAGACTTACATTGCCAAATCCGCCTATTCGGTCTGAATATTCGCTCGTGATAGTTGTGATATGACGGTACTTTGATCTCGTTGTGTGATAATAAATTTTTTACTTTGCGTTTGGTTGTTGCCCGATTTGGGGTTGTTACTCATGTTACCGACTAAGGCGCTCTATCATCTCCGCATCTCTGGGACTTTTCTACAATAAAAAGGTTTCGTTTTGAGGGTAATCTTTGGTTCTAGAATAAACCATGCCCGCTGCTAACAACAAGAAGGCCGGCGGCGCCAAGAAGGGTGGAAAAGGCGCTAAAGCAGGTATCTAACGTTTCCGACATTTATATGTTGGCTAGATGATGACCTGGACGCGATCCTTGCGGAGATGGCCGTAGCCGACCAAGCAAAGGCGGCCAAGGCCGCAAAAAATCCGAAGGCACCGGCAAAAGGTTGAATTTCTTTGGTTTTGTATATGCTTCTTCAAGACGCCGGAAAATCAGATGCGAATTCCGGGCCCGCTTGGAAGCCGAAGTGGCGCTATGAAGCCCATCCACGAGCAGATCACCACCGGCAAATACCCACTCGGTAGGGCGGTTGTTCTTGGAAATAATAACCATCCCTAGGCGAAGAAGTCGAATATTACATCCCGGGAAAAGACAGAGCGCAAGGCCAGCGATCGCATCTCCAATGAGGAAAAGAAGGCTATGGATGCCAGCTTAGAGGAGATGTGGCAGGTAAATTCGATTAGCTCGCTTGTCAATTTTACACCGAGGACTATCGCCGTGCGGCCGAGGCTCATCGTCAAGTACGCAAATACGTCAAGTCATGGGTGAAGCCCGGGATGAAAATGATCGACATTTGGTATGGGATTTCAATATGCTGCCTGATCAAAATGTGATTCAGCTCGCAACTCGAAGCCACTTCGCGGCGGCTAATCGGCGAAATGGGACTTGAAGCTGGACTGGCCTTTCCACCGGCTGCTCGCTGAACAATTGCGCTGCACATTACACCCCGAATGCGGGCGACGAGACTGTGTTGCAGTACGGTGACATTTGCAAGGTAATTGTCACCTCCTTACCAATTTCGTTTTGATTTAGATCGACTACGGTATCCATGTACGCGGCCGTCTCATCGATTCGGCCTTTACCCTCCATTTTGACCCGAAGTTTGATCCATTGGTAACTTTTCTTTGTTTTTATCTGATTTACCCCTTTTAGGCCAACGCCGTCAAAGAGGCCACGAACGCCGGTATTCGTGAGGCTGGAATTGATGTGCGTCTCTGTGACATTGGAGAAGTGATCGAAGAGGTTAGGCGATCCAATTTCCGCATATATGATTTTTAGGTCATGACCTCGCATGAAGTGGAGCTCGACGGTCGCACGTACACTGTCAAGCCGATCCGCAATTTGAACGGACACTCGATCGGACAGTACAGGTAGAATGCAGATTCGTTTAGTAAGGGATTAGGTTCTTTAGGATTTCCGGGGGGGGAAAGTATTTCCGGGGGGGGAAACAAAATTTTTTCCTGTTTTTCCCGGTTGACCTAGTAATCAAATATAAAGTGTTTTCACATTGTTTTTAGTAAATTTTAACTATATTTAAAGTAGAAAAACCTTTCAAAAAAGTTAGAAAAATGTTTGAAAAAGTCGAAAATTGGTCATTTTGGGTCTTTCCCCCCCCGCTAATCCTAAAGGTTCTATAGGATTTTTCGACCTAAAATTAAATTTTTTAATTAAAATGTAGGTAGTTTTTATGCTCAGGAATAGTTAAAAACCATTTAGAAACGCATGCGCTATTTAGAAAAAAATTTAGGCTTGGGCCGAAAAAATTTGGTTTCCCCCCCGGAAATACTTTCCCCCCCCGGAAATCCTAAAGAACCAGGGATTATTCAAAGCTTCGTTGACTATTTAATTTTTTATCTTTTAGGATTCACGCCGGAAAGACGGTGCCTATTGTCAAGGGTGGTGAGCAAACGAAGATGGAGGAGAATGAGGTCGTTTTGCCTGTATTTCTCTGTATTCTGGAGTTTAGGTGTATGCCATTGAAACGTTCGGATCAACCGGCAAGGGCTACGTCCACGATGATATGGAGTGCTCGCACTACATGAAGAACTTTGACCTCGCCGAGCAGCACATTCCATTGCGGTACATTGGATTTACTCGGGTTCTGATTTTTTTCCAGACTACCGCGATCAAAGGGCCTCCTTCAGACGATCGACAAGAACTTTGGCACACTGGCTTTCTGCCGACGGTAAATTTCGAATGCGCATTCAAATACTCCCGCTTAGGGAGGGCGACGCGTCTCCGCAACGCTTGCGTTAGACGCGTCGCGCAATTACGAAGCAGGCCTGCGAAGCTAAATCCCACTTGCTATTTCGCGCACCTGCACGCAACGCGGAAAAAACACGTACAGTAGGGCCTTTCCCTTGAAATATCTGGACCGAACCCATGGGCGATTATGGCCCTCCTTATCCATTTAGGAATTACCCATGTAAGCGAAATCCTACCATATATAAAGTTTCAGCCCGATCTAGTATAAGTCCTTCGTTTAACAGCGGGACCTTTTTGGACCCCCGCATAGTAGGGTTTTAGTTGGCTGGATCGCTTGAACGAAACCAAGTACCTGATGGCTTTGAAGGACTTGTGCGATAAGGTGAGGGCAAGTCAATTTTATAGTTACATTATCTGTGCAGGGAATCGTCGACGCCTACCCGCCCTCTGCGATGTCAAGGGCTCGTACACCGCCCAGTGGGAACATACAATTCTGATGCGTCCCACTTGCAAGGAGGTCGTCTCTCGCGGCGAAGACTATTGATCATCACGGCTATTCCCGCCTCAATTTATTGTTATTGGTTTAGTCCTTGTTAGTTATGCCCATTATTCTCTTTACCCGTTGTGACTTTCTACCCCGTTAGCCAATGCTCTCATTCGGGATGAATCTTATACGAATTTCAATGCCTCAGAACAGCACAGCAGTAAACACCCTATTTTGTCCATGAATTATCAAAACCTTCGAGCGTAGTCGTGAGAATTGATATTGTCACAGCTTCGAAGAAATGGCAAGCCGTAAACCCACGTGGGGAATATTGAAGCCGCCTGGACGACAATTGATAAATTGGACAACTTTGGAAAGATATCCCAGTAATACGACTCAACGGCGAACTCTCCGATCGCTCGAACAGAGTGATGAGAGATCAAAATCAAGTGATGCCAATGTGCGCCTGTGCATGGGATCTTTTTCATGTTTTATACAGTCGTCCGGCATGCGGAAACTCGCGGCATTCCGCTGAAAAATTCCCAGTCAAAATGGAACGGCATAAGGGTCCGTAAAATAAGAAATAAAGGGACGGGGCAGGCCCGTAGCGGAACTGAAATTTCGGGGGGCAAAAATTTTGACGATAGGTAGGAGGACGATAGATTCATAAGGGTCCCCCTTATGAATTTCTGGGACCTCGACCGATTTTCGCCCCCCCTCCTACGGGCCTGGACTAGGCAACCCGTAGATCGCTTTGGGGAAAGGCGAAAAAAAGGGAAACGGTAGGTCTCTGCCTGGCATTCGTTCTTACGAGAATTCCGAATATTTTCTTCCCATAGAATAAGAGCATGAAAATTTGCGACTCTCGACTTGCCTCTGCTTCATGAAGCCGAATTCGATCTTTTCTTGAATTGATCTTTACTTCTTTTCTTTTTATTCTTAACTTCCTTATTTTATCGCTGCCTGTTTGAATTTATCCAAATTCATTTTCCAGACGAGCCCTACAGCCTCGAAAAATGTCATCCGTTGCCGCGCGATGCGTTTTCCTAGGGCCCGAAAAAGCGAAAGCAAGCCCACCGTCTCCAGCGCATCCACTTCAAGCCCGGGCCTACGACAAGTGAGCACCCTTTCGACACACGAATCTATCTTTCGCGCTATTGCGGTTTTGCTGGCCCCACTTATATCGGACCAACACCGATATAAGGTTTTGGCCCGATATAAGGGGGGCCAGCAAACCGCAATAGGCCCTATCTTTTCTATTTCAGTCACAACGCAGACGAAAAACATCCGATGTGGAGCGACTACGATCACCCTCGATTCCTCGGACCTATTCCAGACGATCTGGTGGCCTGTGACCAGCTTCACCAACGCATCATGTGCAAAGATGCGGAGGTATGGTTTTTTTTATGGTTTGGTCAATTTGACTTCAGCCCTTTACCTTCTATTTCTACTATCCGGTGGACGCCGACGCCCTGGGTCTCGTCGATTATCACGACATCATCACACAGCCCATCGACCTGCGCACGATGCGGATAAAGCTGGATTACAGGTGAAAATTGCATTTTTTTTAAACTTTTATTATTGTTTTTCAGACAATACGGGAATGCTGACGAATTTTTGGCCGATATTGCATTGATGCTGGATAATTGCTTCAAGTATAACCCGCCACACGATCTGGTGCACCAGGCCGGCAAGCAACTGCAGGACTTCATTAAAGAACAATGGACTCGAATTTGTGCCGCAAAGGTTTGCTACTTGGCTTTTCACTGATTGATTTTATAGGCTCTTAATAACAACAATAACAAGACAATTACCGCCCTTGCCAGCCGGCCCGAATCACTCAATGACTACACGAAGAGTATGGATCACTGGGAGCAGCGTCGCAAGGATTGGCTGCAAAGATCTGCCGCACTCCGCAGCGAACTCATGGCCTTGGCACCGGGCGCTATGGTGCCGGTGTGGCGGGAAAAAGCTCGAAAAATTGCTCGCCGAAGATGCTGAGAAGCAGCCCAAGAAGGTGGCATCGAAGAAGAAAAAGAAGGCGCCCGGCACCTATCGGCGTGGCAACAAAGGACAACAGCTAACAATGGATGAAATGAGCGAGCTGCAGCGTGGAATTTCGGCACTGCCCGGAAACGGGACTGCTGCAGCTCGTCGAACTGATCGATAAATTGGAAGGCTCGGTAAGCGCTTCCTTTTTTTGCCAGGACACATGTAGTTTGTAGTGCGTCCTTGATTTTTGCCAATGAATAAATATCAATCTTTTTTAGAACCTTGCGGCAAAGTCGAGGGAAATCGATCTGGATCCGTCGTCATTGAAGCCCAGCACCATGCGCGCGATGCTGCTTCATGTCAGAAGGTTCGTTCCGGAAACATCTCGTCCCTCCTGCCCTTCCGTCTCCCTCAAGCTGGAAGTGCTCGTCAAGCCACCTGGAAAACTCTCCGAGTCTTCTTCTGACGATGAGGCTCCGGCAGACTGAGCGAATAAGCCTTTTCTTGATCCCCGCCCGCTAAATGTTCAGATTGCTCTCTTATTTGCTTTTTTTCTGTTTGTATGGCATAAGCCCTTGCTTTTTAATCAGCTTTTATTACCGGTAACAAAACACGTTTGGAATCCTTTGTTGATAAATAATTTTATTAAGCGTGCATGAGTGAACCCGAGTTTAAAAACACACCTGATCAGCCCAATGATGTTCTAATAGCAAATTACAAGAGGAAACCGTTTGTCCATGTCGACGAACCAGCCGGACGAACGTTTCCACAGCCATCCATAATGCCATTGACACCGAAAACCGTCAGGAATGAACTGGAAACCACCGGCGATTTGTCTTCGCTGATTTGTGAAGGAAGGCCGGAAAGGTTTGTCGCGCGTTTTCTCACCACACCCGCCAGCGCGTGCGGCTCGCAGCGGGTTTTAGTCGTACCCTCGGCTTGAAACTTGCCAATTTTAGCGCCCTGCCCGCGAATTGATCTCCAAAAACGTGGAACGGCTTCGAGTTCGGCTTGGAAATAATATTTGCGTGCTTACTGGCTGGTTTTGCAGTGCTATAGTCGATTTTAATTGCTACCCATCGAGCCTTCCGCTGTTTTTGGTATTCAAAAGGCTATTCTGGTACTTTCAAAAGTATGGTTAGTCTAGAAACCACGAGGATGACACTGGACGCAGACGAAGCTTGCGGCGTGGAGCGCGAGGATGAATACACCGCTCTGCGCTGCTCCATTACTCCAATAGCTCTCACGCTGATTGGCGGATCGGCTGTACTTTTCGTTTTGGCCGGTTAGTTTTTCGGCGCTTATTCGTTAGCGGTGGGGAATTTGCTATGTTCCCGTGGCCGCCGTATAGTGAAAAAAAGCCATTTTAAAAGCATTTTTGTAGATAAAAAGTTTATTCAAAGTTGTTTAAATTTTCGGAAATTTTTGACTGTTACACCAAAAATGTAAGGAATGGTTCGAATTTCACTTTTTTTACTGTTTTATGATTTTTACAGCTTGTTAGCGATCAGAGACCACTAAAAACCCTATAAAATAGTTTGCCTTATTACTAGGTTTTTGCTGAACAACGCAGTTAGTTTTCCTCGCCAACCCCCACCCCCGTCACCCCCGCTAACGAACCAGAACCTGGGTATCTACTCGATACGATCTAGTATACGACGGCCTGCAACCCGTCGAAATCGGCAGCGATTCCTACGATAATATGACGTCGTGGCAGTTGGCTCATTACGTGACGTATCCCAATGGTTGGACTTTGTTTCCATGATTTTTTTTATCAAACTCCAGGGACGCGCTACTTCAATTATACACGGGAGGGCTCCGACGTGATGGAAACGCTGGAGACGTTCACGTTGTTTGATTATTTCCAGCAGGGCTGGTTCCACTACCATTTCGGGGACTCGTGGGGCAGCCTGTGCTGGGTTTTTGGTTTTGTCAATTGGTTTATAAACTTGAAATAGCCACGAAATAGCACCGAGGACGTCCCCTCAACGTTTTCGTTATTTAGGGCCATGCAGTTGCGCTGGCTCAGCCAGGTGGGTTTATTAACGATAAAAGTATGATTTTTAGACCCTCATCCGAGCAATTGTCCTCTTACGATGCCCTTCCGCATCTTTGCGACCGTTTTCGTGTGTTTTGGGCGTATGAACGCTGCCAAGACGGGGGTGGATGAGGTGCGCTTTTTTATATAAGTATAAATGTCTAGTAACCTAATAGGAGGTATTTTAATATGGTTTTTAGTAGAATTGAACTATGTTTCGACTAGAAAAATTCTCTAACAACTATCAAATTTTGCTCAAAAACGGTAATTTTTTGTGGAAAAATCGATATTTTTCGTATTTTCTAATAAAAATTAGGGGTTTAACGCCGTTTACAAGTATAAAAGTTCATAAAAAGTACTAAAAACATTGACTTGAATTTTCATCAAAAAAATTTATGAGAAATGGCTCAAGAGCTTAAAATTCTTCTAAAATCGCTTAGCCGCTTTTCCCAGGTTTTCCCAGGTTTTCCCACAAGCTAAATGCCCCCGCTAACAGTCGAGTACCAAAACCGCTGCTTCTCAGGGCGCTCAGCTGCTTGGCGATATTTTTGACGGTCGCCGAGTGTCTGCTAGCTTTTTCCTTGGCGGACTTGCATCTTTGGCAGGACCCAAATTGTGAGTTATCGTTTTCTTTATTTTTAGTATTACCGTATGTTTTACGGTAGCTCAAAAGTAAGTTAATAGATAAAAACAAGGGTGGACTTTCAGAATCTCTAAATTTCAGAATCTCTAAAAATCAGAATCTCTAAAAATCAGAATCTCTAAATGTCGGAATCTCTAAATTTCGGAATCTCTAAATTTCGGAATCTCTAAATGTCGGAATCTCTAAATTTCGGAATCTCTAAATTTCGGAATCTCTAAATTTCTTTGTACAGGAGCCCATACAGAGTTTGGCACAAATTGAAACTGTAATGCGCTTTTACCTAAACACGCCTCTGAAAACTTTTTCTAGGGTAGTTTTATGCGCTAATCACGTAAAACATAGATGCATTTCCATAGCGCCATTTTTCCGTGCTTGGTTACAACTGTTGTCTTCAAAACTTGGTTTTGCTATAAGCAATTCATTTTAACTTTTTGTGATTGGTGGTTACGTTTTTCGTGATCAGAGCAAAAGAATTACCCCAAAAGTTTTCACAGGCGACGTTGAGTAAGAGCGCCATACAGTTTCAATTTGCGCCAAAAACTGTATGGTTTCCTGAACAAAGAAATTTAGAGATTCCGATTTTTAGAGGATTCTGATTTTAGAGATTCTGAAATTTAGAGATTCTAAAATTAGAGATTCTGAAATTTAGGAATTCTGAAATTAGAGATTCTGAAATTTAGAGATTCTGAAACTTAGAGATTCTGAAATTTAGAGATTCTGAAATTTAGAGATTCTGATAGGGCGGCAAAAAACAAGGTATTCTAGACTCAAAATTTTTAGTGCTCTTTTTGCTCAAACCATGCGCGTTTTTCTTCTTCGTCGTGGCGCCCCTGAGGATGATCACGATTTGCCAAGTGCTTCACTTCAAGGTTAGTTTGTTGGTTCTTCTTGCTTAACGGGGGATCAAAACAACCATTTTTGTAGCATTTTACACTGTTTTTAGATATAAAAGGCATATAAGAAAATTATAAAAAGCTGGAAAATTGTTTCAGGTCAAATGTATGAAAAATGGGAAAAATTGAAATTTATAAATTTCCAAGCTTAAGAATTTTGTTATAATTTTCTAGAGACCAAAAGCTACTAAAAAATATAAAATATAACATTAGCAGGTGAAAAAATAAAAATTATTGGCCCCGCTAAGCGATAAGCACCGCTTTATATTTCTCAATTACTGGCCAATTCCCATTATTTTTCCAGAAAGCCCTACTCTCCCCACCCGTAATGCTATGCCTCGGCTGCGTCTTTGTGACACTCACTTGTTCCCGGCCGATCTACGACGACATCACGGCTTTTATATTGCACCCAAATTGCGATGTCTACGGTAGGTAGCTAAAACAGTTTTTTCCACAAGGATCTTCGCTCGTTACCCAGTGAATTCCAGCCAGCAGCGATCAAATGATGGCGTGGATGGGGCTGGCGATGGCTATGTTCACGTGGGCGGTGCACGAGGCATTCGCTGTCTCGAGCTTTCACATTCTCGTCGTGCCGCTGCCCTGCGAATTCGAGTGGAATCGGGGTACGGTAGAGGGGCACATTTTAGGGCTGTTTCAGGATGTTTCTTGTTAAAAAAGGTATCTTAATTCATACGGACAGAGTTACGTGCTTGTTACTCAAAATGTCGAAAATTATAATATCGAAATTCATAATGTGAAATTTCAGAACTTCGAATTTTCAGAATGTCGAAATTTAAATATAAAAATCTCCAGGGAAAACCCCAGATTCTATGCCAAAAAATGTCGACATCCTGAAATTTCGACAACCTGAGAAGCCGACATTCTGAAACTTGGGCATTGTGATAGCAAGTCGTTAATTTTCCACTACGCTCATCCTTACAGCAAACTCCGCCCACTATCAACCGGCCTACACGATGCAGGAAAATCGGAAAACTTTTGCGGAAAATCACCTTAAAATCGACCGTTACCCCCTGGATTTCATAGCGTTCCCGAAAAAGGACCATGCCGACATCCACCTTTCAATTACCGTATCCCCGCACTCCTATTTTGTGACCTCACTGGTGTGTCGATAAATATGGCATAATAAAGTTTATGTACATTTATACAGTTTCGCTTATCGTTTTAATGTCCTCCTCTTCATCGGGGCCAGAGTGTTGCACCTGTAAAAATTGAGTTGCCGAGCCCTTTAATTCAATTTCAGGCAATAATCTCTGCTAGTTCGCCAACATGCCAAGGTATTTAATCTTCCGCAAGAACCACTAGACAAAATTTTTCCTAATTCCCCAATGATCTCCGCTAGTTTGCCTCTTTCCCTCACCTCTCTCCAGACGCCAACCACCCAGCCGACGATGCCGAGCACGGTGAGGACGGCGCCGAGGATGAGCGGAGCATCGGCCTCCCCGGTCGACATGTGATCCTCAGACACAAATGCACTAAAAGGGTATTAAAATGCTCGTAAAGTCTCACCTATATCTCGACCCCAACAATATCAACAGCACCCCGGCCACAATTACAAAACAGCTGACAAAAATGAGGACGCGGAATAGGGCCCACCGCTTCATCACCGTCCAATACTCGGCTAGCCACCTAAAATAGAGTTTAAAAATCGAAATTCGATTTGGTTTGTGAGTCTGGCAACCGGCCAATTCGTCCCCTCAAAAATCCTAAAAGATTTCTGCTAATCGCCAAAAATATTTATTTATATACAAATATTTTAGTTAAGCTGAAATTTGCTTACCATTGGGTTACATCATCATTAAAGGGATGCCGACGGCATAGTCAATCGGTTACGCGCTGGAAAGAAAATGTCTCTGCGCCTCTCCCCGGGGCGCGCTCTCTGCTACTTGCCAATTTGTTGATGGGGGGGGGGGATCGACACATGCCGTCGGCAGCCCTTTAAATTAAGTTTTTAAAACAAGGCTATCGTAGCCAATACTGGCCAAAATTTGCAGAAAATGTCGAAAGTGGCGACAGCGAACTGTCTAAGCCTAAGCCTAAGCCTAAGCCTAAGCCTAAGCCTAAGCCTAAGCCTAAGCCTAAGTCTAAGCATAAGCCTAAACCTAAGCCTAAGCCTAAATCTAAGCCTAACCTAAGCCTAAGCCTAAACCTAAGCCTAAACCTAAGTCTAAGCCTAAACCTAAGCCTAACCTAAGCCTAAGCCTAAGCCTAAGCCTAAACCTAAGTCTAAGCCTAAACCTAAGCCTAACCTAAGCCTAACCTAAGCCTAAGCCTAAGTCTCAGCCGCAGCCTATTCCCAAGCCTAAAGCTAATCCGAAGCCTAAGCCTAAGTCTAAGACTATGCATAAGCCTAAGCCTAAGCCAGAGCATAAGCCTAAGTAACATCGAAAGCCTAAGCTGTATCAGCCGGCGCTAGAAGCTTGGCTTAAACCCAAGCCTAATCCAAACCCAACCCAAGCCTAGCCAACGCCAGCATCCCACCCACTCACCATTTCAACAGTTCTACCGTAGTCATTATGTTGTAGTTTATAGATTCGGAATATTTAAGTTTTGCCCTTTTTCTGGGGTGTGAGCGGCAGGTGGTGTCAGAATCCCGAGTCAATCCTTGGCTTATAGTCCACCCTGTTCTTGGGGCGGAAACAGACGCCATACCCTCCTCTCCGCCTCCCCGAAATTTGCAATAAAATCCTCCTTCTTCCGCACTTTGGAATGGATGTGTGAAAATATGAGCGGAATCTCGGTGGTGTTTCGATGGACGGTCAGGGGATGGAGAGCGAGAGAGAGAGAGAGAGAGAGAGAGAGAGCGAGAGAGGTGAGACTTTAATAGATAGCCCTCAAAATAGACTTGGTCAAGGCTCACGCAGGGCTTATCGCAGCAGCCTGTGCAGCGCCTTGTGCGTCACGGTAACTCTTGGGGGAACGGTCGAGTGTACCCGGCCACATGCCCCCTAACACGTGCCCCAATTATGACTATTGTACCGATGCTCAGCTACGACAAGCTATACTAGCTTCATGCTAAGCCTAAGCCTAAGCCTAAGCCTAAGCCTAAGCCTAAGCCTAAGCCTAAGCCTAAGCCTAAGTCAAGCCTAAGCCAACCATAAGCCCAAGCCCAGCCTAAGCATAAGCTAAGCCACGCCTAAGAAAAGCCACGCTAAGTCTAATAGGCCTAATCCGACGCTAATCCTAAGCTCAGCCTAAGCTTGAGAAGAAATGGCTTAATTAATAGCTCCCGCTACCGTGCGCCAACAAATACCATGGTTTCTGAATTCTATATGGCCAAAAGATTTTACTAACCTCAAAATTCACAAACTCTTGTAAGAAGTAAGCAACAGGAATTTGGAATATTTCTTGGGAAAGTGAAAACAGAAGCCGGCCCACCACCCTCCCCCACCAAAAATTTGTCCAAGCCGATTTTACGCGGCTGTAAATCAGGGGTTGATAAGTGGAAATGGATGCTCGGGGGCGGAGGGTCGATGGTTAATGACCGGATGAGTGTTGTTTCGGCGGGGTAGATTACCAATGAAAATGGACCCTTCAGCGTTTGGTCTTTAAGCACAAGCTATACTTTATGAAATTTATTGAAATTTGGTTTTTGTTTTGTGTTCTTTTCCGCTCGCTTCATTTTACGTCGTGCCGGCGTTTTCGTAGACGGTCAGCTGAAAGTGGGATTTGTTACGTAGTATTTTTTTACGATTAGTTGCTAAATATCCATCTTGCTCGCGCAACCTCTCTCTCTCTCTCTCTCTCTCTCTCTCTCTCTCTCTCTCTCTCTCTCTCTCGTTCATTCTCTAGCTCGCTCCCTTTTTCATCTCATTCTATCGCTCTCTATAAATGCTAGTCTCTCTCTCTCTCTCGTTCTCTCGTTCTCTCTAGTGCTCTCTATCTAGCTTCTCCTTTCCACCCTTTCGTGGGCGCGAGAACGAGCGAAAGAGACAGAGAGAGAGAGAGAGCGAGAGAGAGAGAGCGAGAGCGAGAGAGAGAGAGAGCGAGAGCGAAAGAGAGAGCGAAAGCCCGTGGGAGCTAGAAAAACGGAGCTTCGGACACGAACCAGTGCGTTCAGCTCCTGAACACCCTTGATCTTCGACAGTTTGTAGGGGTTGATGTTGCAGAAGGTGACCGACGGAAAGTTTGCCGACTCCATCCCAAGCTAAAATTTTGTTTTTATTTTCTTTTTGCTTTTTCTTAAACTAATTCACATCAATAAATCTCACGATATTTCTAGTCTGTACCCCGTTCTCTAGGCGTTTCCCGGTGCAGATAAATTTCCACTATCAGATACGTTGCCCCCCTGCTCGAGGTCGTTAAAAAACGTCGACGGACCAAGAAACGGAGGGCATAAATTTGGGGGCGCAATGAGGAATGGCCGGGCGGGCTAGCAGAGATTATTTGGGAAATTGCCAGCCGAAGCCTAGCCCAAGCCTCATCCTAAGCTTAATCCCAAGCCTAAGCCCAAGCCTAAGCCTAAGATGAACCCAGGCTAAGCCTAATTCAAGCCTAAGCTAAGGCAAAACTAAGCCTGTGCTGAACCTAAGCCTAAGCCTAACCCTAAACATAAGCCTAAGCAAACCCTAAGCCTCTACATTGTCCTAATGCCTAAGCTTAGGCCTGCCCCTAAAACTCACATTGAGCATGACAATCTTGCCGAACGACAAATATTGGATGAGGGTCGACGAGAACAGGTAGACGAACCCGCAGGCCGCAAAGAATAGGATGACACCCCACACAATCGCGGCAAACAGCTGAAACTGATGGTTTTCTTTGTGGTGCTGCGGCTACCGTATGCGCCTGGGCCATGTGGGGCACGCCGTGGCAGGACGAGGTTTGGCCCCACTCTTTGCAGCAAGCCTTGACTTTGCTGAAATTTGGGGGGTTGATTTAAATCGAACTTTAAGTCGCGTGAGAGGAGCCAGATCAGCTTGCCGATACCTTGAAAGGGACTGGAAAAGCTAATGCTCCAGCTCGTCATCGCCCTCTTAATCCTCTAAGAGCCAGCTCAAAAGCTCTCTGCTAGTCTCCCCCAGCTACCGTACCTCCAGCGCGACTGGTTTTCATTGTCCTCGCCCTCCTTGTGCATCTCGTCGACCATCTGGTCCATTTCACGCTCATCGAGCGACTCATCCGAGCTGTCATCCTGGAAATGCCGAAGTGTGAAAATTCAGCATTCGAAATGCCGACATTCAAGACAACGACATGATAAAATGGTGTCAAAATCCCAGCCAAACACCGACATTCAGATAGCCGACATTTAAACGCCGATAGCTATGCCCGACAGCCTCAGGAGCCGAAGTTCAAAAAACCGATGGCCACAAGGTCTCGGCAGCCAAAATACCGACACGTGAAACTTTTAGATCCATAATCCGTAGGCAGCCATAACCTCGACAGCCATAATCCCGACAGGCCAAAATATCGACAGCGAAGCTGCGGCTGCCAAGCTTTGAAGGTCTTTGAGATGTTTCATGCCGGATTTCTGACCGCAATTCCCTTGCGATAGAGAAACTTCGCAGCGAACTTTGCCATCTTACCTCCGAATTCCCAAAGAACCTCTGCTACGAAATTTACCGTCAGACTGGCGTGCCGCTTTCGAAGTTCCGGCGCGGCCATTGTTGCTGGTTATTTGGCGAATTGGGAGAAAATGGTCTTGTCAGGAAAACTGAGGGTACCTTGAAAGGAACGCACTCCCGAATTCCGGGTGAAAAACGTGGATCTTTTGTCTTTGGGGGGGTACGGTAGCCATGGAGCCACGGAGAATACATTTAAAAGGCAGGCCAAGCGAGAGTTCGAAAAATCAGAGAGTGCGTTTTTTTGAGAAATAGAACTGGGGGCGGCGGAAATAGAAGGCTGAAGCCAAGCCGAAGCCTAATCGAAGCCTAAGCTGAGCCTAAGCTTATGGCGAAGCCAAGCCCAAGCCTAAGCCTAAGCCTAAGTCGAAGTTTTTTTGGTAGCCATGGCTCGGCTTCTCCTACTCAAAATTCGGCACTAAAACCTGCTCAAGTCCTCGATGCCAAAAACAATAAAGCCAAATTTCGTATTCCCGGGCGTCTCCTCCCTGGTGGTCTATTTGCGGATCGCTTTCTGCTGTGCCTGCACTCAGCAAACATTTTCCTTCGTCGCCCCTCAAAACCAATCGTTGTCACACTCCCGCGACGCACAACCATCATCACCCACCGCTACTACTAGATACCCTTATTTTTATCGATGTTCCTATCGATTCTTAAAGGGAGAGTGACACCTGGTTTATCGCGAATATTATAGAGGCGCAACTCTATCCTAGCTTGCCCGGTCCTACGGAATCTCGGCTAACCTCAACCTTAACCTAAAGAATATCTGTTAGTCTGCTCTTTCCTAAAGAATCTCTGCTGGCCTGCCCTCTCCTAAAGAATATCTGCTAGCTTGCCAAACTCTATGTTACACCTGCACAAGGTTTTAAATGGTTCTGTTACGTCGTTGAACAAATTCTGATGACCAGAGATGTCATCATCTCTTTAAAATCAACCCCCCCCCCCAAATGATCTCACAAGGGAAGTGCACGACCGGCCCACGAGAAATCGACACGAGACATAGTCGATCTGATAGAATCGGACACGGGGATTCTGAATCTGTAATCAGAATTTGCTAAATAAAACGGAGAAAAAAGTTATGAAGCTTCAAAGTTGGCCAAATCGCCAAAAACCGTACATTTAAGGGTCCGTAAAACCCGGTGGAACGGAATTGAGGAGAAATGAATTAGTGCAGCTTGTTCAGCAGAAAAAGCGCTTTCGAATGAGCTGTAATACGTGGCATTTGCAAACAATTCACTGAAAAAACGTTTTTTTGCATTCACGGGCAAGGGTATGGCCTGTCAAGTTCATAGAACAGATTTGGGCAAAATCATCGTAAACTTGAAGTAAGATAGCTCATTCGAAAGCGCTTTTTCTGCTGAACAAGATGCACTAATGGGTTGTGGCAAATTTCCATTCCCTGGGCCTTTACAGGCCCATAAAAGCCCGAATTTGGGCGATTTTGCCAACTTTGAAGCTTCATAACTTTTTTCTCCGTTTTGTTTAGCAAATTCTGATTACAGATTCGGAATCCCCGTGTCCGATTCTATCAGATCCACTATGTCTCGTGTCAATTTGTCGTGGGCCGGTCGTGCACTTCCCTTGTCAGCTAGCTGGCCCCCTTATTCGGCCTCTACCGTAACCCTGGCTGAAAAATAACTCAGAGAATACAGTTAAGGTTATTGCATCAGGTCTTGTTTGAGGAATTCTGTCACCGGCCCTTTAAAAGCCTTCCCATCCCAACACCCTATCCCGTCGCGTGAAATGGAATGGGGAACCGGCTTCTCCCCCTGCTTCTTCCGATGGGTCCCCCCCGTCGACAAGGGCCCTCGGGAAGACAATCCCCCCCGCTAGGGCCCAGCTTCTTTTGAATTTTTCAGTAAGCTCCTGTGGCGAGGGCCCAAAAACCCGAATCGGGATTTGTATTGAATACTTGATTTTTGTGCCTAGTAAGGTGCTAAAACATATCCCTCTTGCCGTCTCTCCCCCTCTCTCTCTCTCTCTCTCCCCCTCTCACACGCTCTCTTTAGCTCTATTTCTCGCGCTTGCTGCTTTACTTTAGTCGTTTACTTTAGTTGGTACATTCCACCCCTTCAGGGGAATTCTCCTGTATTGAAATTGGGGTAACCCGATCCCGAACGTCCACCACCACATGGGGACCCCAAAATGGACGGCTAGGCGACGTTGCGTTATTTCTGGAGCTCCCGACCTAAAAGCTCTACGGAAATGCCTTCAAATTTTCCAGTGACGCAAGAATCTCTGCTAGCTTACCCTTTCCTAAGCCATTTATGCCAGTCTGCTTTTCCCAAAGCAGCTCTGCTAGTCTGCCCCTTCTTGAAGAATCTCTGCCTCCTAAGGAATCTCTGTTAGCCTGCCTTTTCCTCAGGAATTCATGCCAGTCTACCCTTCCCCAAGGTTCTCCGCTAGCTTGCCCTTTCCCAAAGAATCCTTGTTAGCCTTCCCCAATCGACATTCAGTTCCATACCCATTCGTCAACCTGTGTAAATGGGGGTAGCAGAACCGGACATCGATCCCGGTCGCTCCATGTCAGGCGATGGCAAGGTCGTTCTCCTGTTTTTCGGTCCATCGCTCTCTCTCTCTCTCTCTCCCCCTCTCTCTCTCCCTCTCTCTCAACCCGAGATTCCCGCCTCACCCCCTCCTCCACCAATCGGCATACTTTTTATAATGCGCGCCACCAGCCCCTCCTTCGGTCCGTCGCCCGGTGGTGACAGCTGGCAGATGGACGGTTTGAGCGTTCATGCTAATTCCTGTGTTGTCTCTGCTAGTATGCTGGATTTCGCTTCGCAAGGGATTCCTGTTAACAAGCCTCCCCGCTTTTTCTGAATGATCTCTGCTAGCCTGCCTTCTTCCAATTCCTCAAAGAATCTCTGCTAGCCTGCCCTCTCCCAATTCCTCAAAGAATCACTGCTAACCTGCTTAGCTGTCCACCAAGTTCTTCTAAAGAATCTCTGCTAATTTGGGCCGCTGGCGCCGAATTTCCAAAGAATCACTGCTAGCTTTTTTTATCTTTTTCGGGGTAATAGTGCCCCTTCTCCTTACTATTAATGCCCACTCCGGATGCGGCACTTCAATTAATTGAGGTGCGATTGACAGCTGTTCGCTCCCTCACTCTCCAACCTATTCGGCCCCTCCTCCCTATCAACCCCCTCCAATCGCCCCGATCAATTTTTGACCCATCCGCAGCCGTGCAAATTTTCCCGGTTGAAAATTGCTGAAAACTATCTTTGCAGCTACTGTGACTTCGCAAAAATCGCACTTTCATTGAAGGAGCTATGAAGTCTGTTTTGCTCTGTTTAATTGTTCAAATCAGCCCAAGAATGAACGTGAATAAGGAATTTTTAGCCTTAGAGGCAGGGTACAACATGAACTGCCCGCCCGCTCAAAACCCTGTTTTATCCCAAAAATCGTATTTTTGTTACCTCGAAAATTTTGCGTTTCCTTTCCTTCTCACAACGGCAGGAAATTTGTTAGGTGGGGGATGCTAAAATACCCCCATTCAAAATCCTGACATCAGAATCAGAATTCAGAATCCCGACATCGAAAATCCCGACAAAAAAATATCGACAACCAAATGCCGACATCCAAAATGCCGACAGGAAAAATCTCGAAGGTAAAAAATCCCGACAGGCAGAATACCAAAAGTTTTTGTCTGGTTTTTGGCTCTCTCGTCATTTGGCCGTCGGGATTTTAGCTGTCAGGATTACGACTGTCGGCATTTTGGCTTTCGATATTTTGGCTGTCGGGATTTTGGTCTATCGGGATTCTAGCTTGATTTCGAAATTTCGCTTCCTAACCCCTTTAATTTAATCGATACCATATATCGATCGGTTAATTAGTTTTCGAGCTCGGGCTTGAAACACGGCTATCTGTTTAGTCAGTCTCGACTTGCCCCCGCTGTTGCCGATCGCTATAAATCGATCCAGTTCCCCCTCTCTCTGCTCCCCATCAAGGCCATCCCATTGTTTGTGTTTGGACGTGTGGAGGGAGACTAGCCGATCGCTTTGTTTGAGACTCTCCGTCGGTCGTGTAGTTAGGAGTGCTGCGTAGTTCGTTCACGTCTGCGTCTTTTTTTAGGACTCGACGGTCAGCTAGGCGCTGTTATTAAGTTCTGGGTCGTTCGCTAAGAAGCGCTACCAGTTACGCCTAGCTTGCCTTTGGGCTCCGTTATTTTGCGTATCTCCTAAAGAATCCTCAAGAATCTCTGCTAGTTTGCTCTCTGCTAGCCTGCTTCCTTGCACGGATTTCCGAAATGCTATGCTAGTTTGTCCTCTTGGGAGTCCTCAAAGGATCTCTGCTAGCCTGCCTCCTTCCATTCTTCGAGGGCAAACTAGCAGAGATTCCTTCAGGAATTGGGTAGGCTAGCAGGGAGTCTTTGAGGAATTAGGAGAGAGTAAGCTAGCAGAGATTCTTTGAGGAATTGGGAGAGGGCAGGCTAGCAGAGATTCTTGGTGGAATGGGGGAGAGGGCAGGCTAGCAGGGCACTAGTAGTAATTTCAGGGTTTTTAGACCCATTTTTTTGATTATTCGCATTCTCTCAAGACCAACTTCTCCTTTTTTATCACATCTTTTTCCAGTTCCCAGTTTTGCTCAACGCGCGGGACTCTCATCCCGAAAAAGCCATTCACCACGTTTTCTGGGTCAGCTTTTGCAAGCGCGCGCGCCCGCGTTCTAGTGGTGGTGGGGGAGTAGGGTATAATCGGTGGTTAGGCGGATGGGTGGTTTCGAGCCGAGGCGGGGAGAGCTTTGCTGGAACAAGTAGGGCGAGCATTTCGACAAGCCTCACACAACACGAAAAGAGACAGATAGACATAGAGACAGACAGACAGACCTGTAGCTGCAAGTAAGGGAAGGGGAGGGAGGGGAGGAAGGGGAAGTGGAACCAGTCAAAACGAGAAGCATCGGGGAGCAGGAGCTAGAGTTTGAGCTGGAGATTGTAGGATGGTATTGGCAATTGACAGTTTTTTGAATAGAAAATTTTTTTTTGGGTTATGTACAGGAATAATCGTTGATCTATTGAGCTTCACCACATCCCTCTCTCTCGAT